GGGGGGGGGCACTTGGAGTCCTTCTGCAGCCAATTGCTGAGCTGGGGGGTGCTGGGGGTCCCCCCAGCAGACCCAGAATTGGACCAGAAATACTGCCAAGAGCACACTGGGGGTGGGGGGGGCGTTCCTGTGGGACACTGCATCCGCCCCAGCATTACAGCATTCACGAGCTGTGCCCAGTACCTTGAGGCATGTAGAAAAAACATTTAAAGCTGTGTCTATGGCTGAATTGCTGGTTCTCTGAATCGGCATCGAATCGAATCGGGAACAGTGATCTGAATCAACTAATCGAATCGCTGTCCCTGATTCAGGCCGAATCTGAATCGAACAGGGCCTGTTTCGCATACCCCTAAGTGCTTGTGTACTTGCCCATTGATTTGGGATTGCAACAGAGATGAACTTGCTATGGTGTATTTTGTTTTGTTTTTGCTTATTGGCGCTTAATGGCAATTGCTTCCTTAAATTTACAAGTTTTACTGATCAGTTGCTACAGAAACAGATTTTTTTCCTTTAAATTTTTTTCCAGATTTTAGTTTTTGTATGATTACTTGACCAAACCTTTGAATTTTATACATGTCATTTTGAAGTGCAGAGATCCCTACTCTTTCCCATTTCCTAGGCGTCTCTTGTGGGTAGGGAATCTGTATTGAAATCAATGCTGTGTTTATATACATAAGACTAGTCAGAAGATAATTGGAGTCAACAGTGGGCAGGCGATACCTTTTTTTATGAGCTTTCTGCATATTGATGTCCATGCTTAGTGACTCTGAAAATTATCCTTCAAGGTGACCAAACAACGTAAAGTAGTATATTCTTATTCATTAATTTCTTCTATTTTTCAAAATACTTAAGTTGAGGGTATCAAATTTAATTTCCCTAAATTGCACTTGGTATCTAATAAATCGCTACAAATAATTATAATAAAGTATGGAATTCCAACTAGTTAAGAACGATAATAACATTCCGTTATCAAACTTATCCATCAACCTAATTAAGTCTTTTTCTTCCCAAAGGTTAGAAACGAGACCTAAATATGGTAGGCAATCTGGTTACTAGTCTTAAGGGAGAGGGAAGAAAATCAAATTTGTGTTAATTTTATATGGCTTTTTGCGAGTTGCAGGATTGCCTTGGCTTCGGGCACAGAGAGATCTTGATTTCTAGATCAAAAAGCATCTTATTACAACTCCCTCCTAATAAAAGTATTATCTGTGAGGAAGATGGATCACTCTCAGCAGGATCACTGCCTCATCAGTGCTATGTAAACTCTTTACTCCTTCCCCAATATATAGGCCAGCAAGTACAGTGTGGCTGTTGCAGCTATCAGTCCAGATATCCTACGCAGGGAACTAATTCCAAACCTGAGGCAAACTCTGGACAGAAAAGGTTTTTGACATTAGTAGTCAATCTCAAAACGCAAAGCTTTTGAAGAGTTGTTGATGAAAGGTCTCACTGAAGAAATAGAGAACTCAATCTTTGCTGGTTACTGAATAATTCAAATGTCCACATCCAACCATCTTTAATATTTTGTCCCTTTAGAAAGAGGCTATGTGCATAGCAACTTTACTTCAGTATTGGGGGGAATCTACATAACCCCCCTGCTAAATGCTATAATTGTATTGCTGCTCTGTACTTCCAGTAAATTGGAATGGGGGGGTGCCTACATGGTTTTCTAGAATTTAATTATGCCCACTAAAAACTACAAGATGGAAAATATTCACTCTAAAGCCAGTAAAGTTTCTGGGTTGTACTACTCCAATGTCTGTACAGTTTAAGGATAGATGTCACCCCATTTCCTTTGTCCTGTTCAGAATTTTTCCCCAATTTACTTCTGACTGCACTTAATGTGTTGTCCTGCTTAAAGTTGTTTCATTATTACATCGCTGATTTGTAGAGAGCATACTTGTTTAAAGTTGCACGGTGTTGGGTTATAATGTTGTTTGGCCGCTGCCTGCTAGTAGGTAACTACCGAGATGTAAGTGGATTCGCTTAGTCACATTTTCCATTAAGCGAGGAGTAGCTGTATTGCTGTTGCCTATCTTTCCTTCTTCAGGTTGACATTCACTCTTGTTGTGTTGGCAGTCGGTATTTGTCTTAAGTACTCTGCCTGCCTTGTTTAAACTGGGTTGCTTAGGCCACCTCTCTTTGTAGCCACGACAAAAATCTGAGATATGGTAATTGGTTAAAGCAAGAAAGCTAATCCCTAATCCCGACTCAGTGACAGGTTCATGTCCTAGCTGTTCAGCACTATTCTGTTTCTGTGATTCAGATCTGTTTCTGGTCTGTCTGTTCAGTCTTGGGATACTTCAGTTGTTGACAGTATGTTAGGATTATGACTAATGTAATGGGTGAGAACACACGCTGGTCCAGATCCAGATTATGAAACTGTAAAGTGACCCATGGAGCTCTAAGGGTTTGAGTGTCACCCTGTACTTTGTAGCATTGTCAATAAAGATGGGAGTCTCCAGTAATCATCTATTTAGGGTATGCTTTTGCAGCCACCCTCAAAGTGAATCAAATCCCTCGCTACAGCTGGCAGGTGGTAGAGTTGGGATTTGTTGTTTTTCATCCTAGCTATTGCTAAAGAAAGATTCACAACAGCTAGTTGAAATATAGCTCCATAAGACCATTTTTCCTACTATCCTGCAACTGCCAGACGAGAAATGAATGCTGAATGAAGCGCTTCTTATCTTGTGTGCCCAAAAGGAAGAGACAAGGAATATTTTTTTGTGCCAAAGGAGCTAGATTTCTCAGTGGTCATTGCTATTGAGGATCAACGTTCCTTTTTGCATTTGGAGGCATGATTTGAGATGGGGAAACTTGCTTCCAAGACTTCTTCTGTAAAGATCTAAAATTATCTGTCAAAAGCTACAATATTAAAGAAGTGCATCTCCCTATGCTCTCCCCATGTGCGTGGAAAATGTGGACAAGGGTTACTCGGTGAATTCTCACCAAGGAACAGCCTGGGATGGGGACGACACATAGGAGGAAAAGGCTAAAATGCTGTTTGAGCAGGGTTCCCAACATCTGTTAGGAGCACAGCTACTCCTTGAGTTGTCTCCTGGAAACCTCAGCTAAGATGGGGAGGAGGCTTGGTGGGAAGGAGAAAAATAGCAAGGTATACTTTTAAATTGTTCACAGTAGACTCTGGGAAGAGGCTTTTATAAGGCATTGAGGCATTTTAGAGAGGCCAGGAAACAATGCGAGTAACTTGTCAATTTGCTTGTGTAGATCTTGGTGATTCAAGTATTGCCACATTGCATCCAGGGCAGGCCTCCATAGTATTTCTAGTACTTAAAAAAAAAAAAAAAAAA